CAACTAAGGAGGTTCGAGTCCTCACAGATGCACAGTGTACTCGAGCACGCAGCTTATTTTTTCAGATCAAAATTAATTCAAAATTGATAATTATTTGTCGACAAATCATATCGATATAATTATCACATGAAACACCTAACTCTGAACCAAGGAGTTTTAATGACATCTAATAGATGTCACTTTGCTGATAAAGTCGAATTCTTCAATTTCGTGATTTTCAAAATTCTTAATCAGCGATAAATATAGTATTTCTATATAAAATATATCTAACATAAAACTAAAATAGCTATCAATTTTATAAATTTTTCTAAAATGTAAACTTTATATACATCAATCGATTCGTTTTTGTGCCAGGAATACGGTTTTTACAAAATTTATTAAAAATTGTCATAAAAAAAAGTTATTTCAAAAAATGCGAATAATTTTTTTTCAAAAATTAAAAAATGATATAATTTTTAGATTTTAAGTAAAATATAGACTTTATATAGATAAATCAATTTTGTTTTAATGCGAGAAATCAGTTTTTTAATTTCAAATACATGCATTCTAGATAAAAATAAGACAATATAACCCATTTTTAAAAAATCGAAAATCGTCACGAATACAGAGCTTCCTCGTGAGAAGAGGAAGCAAAAAAGAAGAAAATTTTATCTTAAGGGCTTCAAATTCATACATTTTTACGTGTAGATCGACCTTCACACTTTAACCTCCTCAAATTTTAGGTTTAGGTATACGGAACCCTCGGTTTTAATGAGAGTGTAACGATTGTCCGATTTTTCATATATTAACTACAAAACCCCGAAGCAGATATTTTTAAAATTTTCGTCAGTCATATTCGATTTGTCATTTTGAAATTTTTAAAATTGACATCGAATTCGTAATTAGCGTCTCTAAAAACCTTTAACTACTATAATGATTGCGAAAATTTAAATGATTTAAATAAATAAGTTGATGGGTTAAAAAATCAAATTCATTCAATTCCAGAAATATTATTTTTATTGATTATTATTATTATTATCAACGTTTTGCATTTTATACACACATAACTAAATCAAGACTTAAATTAGGTATATAAATAGAAGGATTTTTTTTTCTACTTTTTAGGGTTCCGTACTCGAAGGGGGAACCCTATTAATGAGACTAGTGAAGCAAGGCATGTACCCCCCCCTAGCGGCCACACGAATTTATCTAGAGGGCTGAAATTTGGTATACATATGTATTTTGGCGTGTAGATTACAGGAAAAATATAGCGAATCTCATAGGAATTAATTATCATAGTGTTGTCAAGGAAAAACCATGAATTTTTCAGAAAAATCCCTAAAAATGACTATGTACCCCCCCCTGGTTGCCACATCTTTTTACATAGAGAGCTCAAATTTGGTACACTTATGTATTTTTACGTGAAAATTACAGGAAAAATATAGCGAACATGATTCGGATTAATTTACATAGCGTTGTCAAGGAAAAATAAAAAATTTCGAAAAAAAGCGATTAATCCTCCTAGCGCACACAATATTTGACGAAGGCAGTTCATATTTAGTATGCGTACGTATTTTTGCGTGTAGATTACAGAAAAAATATAGCGAGCACAATTGGAGTTAATGTTCATATTGTTTTTAAGGAAATCTCATATTTTTAGAAAAAATCATGGATTTTTCGAATAAAAAAAGAAGAAAATTTTATCCTAAGGGGTCCAAATTTATACTTTTTTACGTATTTTTACGTGTAGATTACAAAAAAAATATAGCGAGAACGATTGGAGTTAATTATCATAGTGTTTTCAAGGAAAAACTGATAATTTTCGATAAAAATCATGATTTCTCCCCAAAAACGAAGAATATTTTATCTAAAGAGTTTCAAATTCATTCACTTTTACGTATTTTTGCGTGTAGATTACAAAAAAAATATAGCGAGAACTCCCATTGTGCTTGCTTTATTTTTTGTAGTGTTTTGCCATTCTTTATAATTTGCCATTTTCTTTTTTTTACCATTTGCTATTTTTTTATCTTTTGACATTTTTTATTTGTTGATATTTTTATTATTTGGTGAAATCTAAAAAAAATCATAAAATTGAAAATGTTAAATGATAAAAAAATTTAAAAATTTTTAAAAACTTATGATATTGAAAATAAATAAATGATAGAAGAAAGACCTCCACTCCACAACAAATTTTAGGATTAGGGGTACGGAACCCTCGGTTTTAATGCGAGTGTAACTCGCACTTGTCCGATTTTTTTTAATATAATATCTGACCTCGATAATGGACCTTCAATTTATTATTCTTATGTAATTCTTCAATAACGAGATAATTTTTTGAAAAGTGATAAAAAGAAGTGTTTTACTTCTTATCATTGCTAACTTAAATTAATAAAGTAATCATGGATTCAATATTTAAATGAATTATACGATTACGTCTAGTGCATAGGTAATTATCGATACGGTACCATTTAGTAGGTCTGATCTAGTGAGAATTGTGTTACATTGTCTGTTAATAGTATGTACTAATTTTGTTATGTCTTTATAATGACCGTTTCTGAAACAAATATCTTCACTTACATAAGGGCAAATAATGGTACGGTTCTGATAAGTCTCGTTAAACTAATTAAAAAGATGGTGCATTAAAGTGACGTCCTTTAATATGTTTCTGTGAATGTTGATATATTGAATATTTAAATTTAAAAATTAGTCTATGTTAATACGCACATTATTAAAATTTTTGAAAAACAAACAATTCCTTCTGTATAATTAAAAAAAATTAATTTGATTGAAAAATTTTTGTTTAATAAGTTACTTCGAAATTTTTAAATTTTAGAACTAAACCATTTTTTAAATCAAACGTCTTTTTGCTTGTATTTATACATAATTGCAATTAAAAATGTTCATCTTCATTAAAAAAATTTTACTTTTTTTGTATCGAAAAAGTTGAAAATTTCTTAATATTATTAAGGAAGATTAATGTAACTTACTTAAAGATAAGTCACGTACTTATTTATTGTTGAATATATTATTAAAATATCGGGAAGCATGAATATCCCATATGAATCATTAGCTAGAATTTTCATTTGTATACATTTCATTTGACAGAATTTTTTCTAAAGCGAATTTTCACTTTTTAAATTAGCATTTGAGTTACTTTCTCTGTAAAGGAAATTTTATTTAACATAATTATTAGTTATCGAATTTTTATTTGACATAATTTTTATATTAACAAATTTTTTTTATTTAATCCAAGTTTAAATGTTCAGAATTTAATATCAACAGAATTTTTGTAATTCGAATGACAGAATTATTAATTCATCTAATATCCATTTGTTCAAATTTTATTTACACGAATTGTTATTTGAATTTTTGTCAAATGAAAATTTGCACTTTTAGGAATTTTAATAAATTACAATGCGTGTAAATAAAAATTTGGACACATGAAGATTCGATAAATTAAAATTGGTTTAAATTACCATATTCCTCTTAAATTTAAAGTTTGAAAAAAATGTGGTAAAATAAAAATTATGTTGAATAAAATTTAGTTTATAAAAAAATTAACCCAAATGCTAATTTGAAAATGAAAATTCGCTTTAAAATAAATGCTGATAAATGAAATGTATACAAACAATAATTCCAACTAATAATTTTTGTGGGATATTCATATGCCCCAACTTTCAATTTCTTTCAAAATATTATGGTTATTATGTATTATTAACAAACTTATTTATATACCAAAACAATGATTAAAATAAGACAAATTAATTATATGAATACAAAGATTTTATTTTTAATTTAACATTTTTATAACCTATCTGGCTTAGATAGTGAACCCTTCATATGACATTTTTATGTAATGCTTATATACAGAAATAATATTTTGAAAAATGATTTAATTAAAAATAATATTATTTCTCATACTTTATAACTTAAGATCATAAAGTAATAATGGATACAATATTTAAATAAATTATAGTATTACATCTGATGTACAGGTAATTATCGGTGCGGTACCATTTAGTAGGTCTGAACATATAAGTATTGTGTTATATGGACTGTTAATGATATGTACTAATTTTATTATGTCTTTATAATGACCGATTCTGAAACAAATCTCCTTACTCACATAAGATCAAATAATGGCACGGTACTGATAAGTCTCTTCAAATAATTAAAAAGGAAGGTGCGTTAATGGGACGTCCCGTTAATTACCGTACGGTCCTAGTAATGCACGTTTCTCTATTGTTTTGGTACCAATAGTGACCGCTTGCTAAACATATATATATATATATATGTAGATATATATATATAATTCAAACGTATTTTATATGTACATATTTATGTATTTATATAATTTATTTGTAAATTATAGAAATACATAAATATGTACATATAAAATATGTTAGAATTATATATAAATATATATAAATTTCATTTTACGTATTCTATATAATTTACTATTATAGTTCTTTTATACAAATATTTCAACTACTTTGTGGGAAGTAAAAAAATTACCAATAGTGATTTATATTATAATTATATAAATAATTTATTTATTGATTGATTAATTTTTTGAACTACATTAAATTGTTACAAAAATAAATTTGAATTAATTGAAATAAAGATAAAATTCTATTTATATAAAGAAAATGTATCTAAGAATAATTTTCTATTTCAATTAAATATAATATTTTCTCACTTTTAAGACATTTAGAAACTTTAAGATTTTAAAATGTAACTATAGAAAGAAAAATAACTGCGGAGAATAGGTCACTAATATTGAAATAAAGTACGCCAAAGAAAAACATAATTTCTCAGAATGTAATTTAGATTCCATCAGTATTATCTTCCCTTTGTATACATTTGGGACTATCATTTTCAAATTGTACTAAAAAAAAGTTCTTCTTACATAAATTTCTGGAGAAATTTAAATGTCAATAACGTTATAATAATAAGTGTTCATTTGCACAATTATTTATATTATTTATTAATTTAATATTATAAAAATATTATTATCTTTCAGCAAAATAAAAAAAAATGGATTTTACTTCTAACGAAGCAATAGAGGCCATACAGTTTTGGGATAGGACGGTGTAAGTTTTATAAATTATATATTTATAAATTTTCATAATAATAATAGTAATATAAATATATTATATGTTTAAATAAATAAATTATATATTACATATATATACATTTTTTTTATTCATAAATTCATGGAAAAACTTCATACAAGGTATAATAATAATATAATAATAATAAATATAATAATATATATAACATATAATACCATATATTATATATAGTAATAATGAATGAATGAATTTATAAATGAATTTATAAATAAAAATAATATTTTCAAAATAATATATATTTATATTCAGTCCATAACGTTGTTTCATGAAATGTTACATGGAAATTATTGGATTTATAGAATCCATAATTCCACGGAAAAACATGGGAAAAACAGAATGAATGAAATTCTTTTTAAATAATGATGCAGGGAAGAAAATTCAATGCGTAATATGGGGCACTGACCACATAAATGAAGTAGAGAGACATATTTCTCTACATAAGGCAAGCAAAAACATTTTTTATTATTCTTTGACTCTGTTAATTTTATTTTTTAACATTTAATAAAGTTAAAAAAAAAAAATTATTCAAAAAATAAAAATATCATTATGTAGTCAAATAAATATTGGTTGAATTAATCATTTCTTTACTTAATTTATTTCTATTTGTTTTATTGATTTCAAGAATTTCAAAATAATTTCTATATTTTATAGTTCCAACTACATTATTAGTTTTCAAAACTACATTTTGGTAAATAATAAAACTTTTTTAATAAAGTAGACATGGACTTATGGAATTATTTAACGTAGTTGATAAAAATTAAAATTTACGAAACAATTATTAGAGTATATAAAAGGAATGTTTCTTTAATATTTTCACAAATTGTTGTTCTATAGGAGAACAACAAATGTTTAAACTGCATACGATATAAAAATTTTAGTAAGTCACTTTGCTGCTTAGGTTTCTTTTCGCATAGCATGTTTGGCTAAATTAAGCCTAATCATTAAAGTAACTTACCTAAGTTTTTATATCGTAATGCACTAAAATATTATTTGTTTTGAAAAACAATTTCAGAAGTAGAGGTTGTGAAAATTTTTATTTTCAAAAATACTGTAATTTTAAAATTTCTATAAGTCAAACAAAACAGGATTTTAAAGTATCTTCCACATACTTTGGATGTTTAAACAAAATTTCCAACCCCTTTTTCTAAAATTATATTTTCTTTTGGAATTTTGACAAATGTTAGTATTTTATTTTTTAAAATAATTTTTTTGAGAATGTAAAATTTCTTTCAATAAAATATGTGAATTTGAGAGTATAGTTTGAATTGGTTTTTAAAGAATTTTTGACGTAATTTTTTCTGCTTACAAAAAATTTTTCAAAAAAAAATTTTCAATCACTTTTTTCAAAATTCATTTTTATTATTGAATTTTGACAAATTTTAGTGTTTTTAATTTACTTATAAATAATTTCAATAAAAATTAATATTTTTACAATGAAATATATAAATTTTAGAATTGGAGAAAAATGTGTTTGCGAGAAATTGAATTCAAAATTAGACGTTGCGCGCCCTGTTTCCGTTGGTCCACTTGAGAAATTTTATCTCAAAATCCTGATTGTATTTTGAAGTTCCTGTAATTTAATTTTTTCACTCTAATAATTACGCATTTTTAATCAAAACATTTTTTTGTGAATTTTAAAATTTTTATACAATATAATATTTCATTCACAATTTAAATTAAATTTTCAATCTTTTTTTTTTATGTTAAAGAACAATTTAGAAATTGCATTTTTGAATGAATTTCAATTTTAATACAATTTCAAATTATATCACATTTTTAAATTTTACTATATTTCAAATTCTTCAGCATTTAAAAATTGTTACCATTTCAATATTTTATTTCACTAAAAATTTTATATTCCGTACACTGAAAAAACTTGTTCTTAAATTGAGTAGCAAATTCATACTCAATTTGAAACGCATTAAAAATTAGTAAGGTATATGGCGCCACGTTCTATGTCATTTAACAAGACTATTTTTCAGTTGCAACAAAAATAAGTTCAAGTTCTTTCTGTGTATATTTTTATTTCACTTAACAATTTCATATAATTAAAAATGTATTTCGTTTTAACTACTACCATTAATATTAGAAAATATTTTTAAAAATTTTAGATTGTACATATTGATGGTGCATGCTCGCGAGTTCCAACAAAACCAGAATTCAATCATGGAAACGTTACGTTTGAATTACAAATTTTTCCAACCACAATCATTAATGACTTAGGAGTGCATCATGTGCCAGAGGACGAAGAAACCTCTAATATTCCTGATGTGGATATGGGTGATATTATCCATTTCGAAAATCAAGTTATAAGTAATTTATATTATTTATTATACTTTTTTAACTATGTATAAAAATGTACAAACGATCGTTCATAAATTACGTAAAATATTGGTGGTAGGAAAGGGATCTAACTATTTTTAACAATCCCCAACTGCAAAAGTTAACGCTAGTTTATATTACTAACGTTATTCTAACTTTAGTTCCAAAAAATTTCTTTGAAAAAATACTGCAGAAATTTTTTTGATACTAATATTAAATTAATATTAGTTAACGTTAGTAACGTTAATTTTTCAACTGCTTCAAGATATGAAAATGAAAATATTAATTTTGTACGCATTTTGTGTCCAATTTCTATGTATTCTTATTTGAGGCTAAGTTTTCTTTAAAGTAAATTTCAATTAACACCGGTTCAATATTTTTTCTATAAAAAAATTTGAAAATTATAGACAATATTCTTAAATATTTAATGACATAATTAGAAACTATACACGCGTTATTTTGGCTATTTTTTAATTAAATATAAAAAAATCTAAGAATATTTTAATAAACATAGTATGAAAACAAAGTATCAAATTTTAATTTTCTTATGAAATTGTTTTAAAGCATTTTCTAATATGTTCTTTAACTTTCAGAACTTTGTGCATACATCAAAAGCAAATTTGTATTCCAAACTTTTGGTATAAATCGCCAATTGGGTACATATGGTTGTGGGTCAGTAACAAATGGAAACTTTAAATTAGAAGTGAGAATAGCTTCATTTCGAAACACTTTAACTTGCCAAAAATGTGATGCTGTTCAATTAACCGGAAAAGTTCAAACACAAGGTATATTATTTCAATTTTCATAAATACTCGTTTTCTAATAAGGAATGTACACATAAAAACAAATTTCCAACCATCGATATTTAACTTCCGACAATGATTCTCTAGCATTGTTTAGACATTTATTTTTTAATATTAAAATTAAGAAAAAGGTATTTTTGAACACTTTCAAAATATTATTTTTGGAATAAAATTAAATTTTTTAAAATTCATGCGATTCATTATTTGAAAATAACTTAAAATTGAAATTTCCAAGAAATAGTTTCTAGTATTTCGAGGCTTTGATTTTCCTCAAAAATCCCATAAGAAAATAATACTTATTCATTACAAATTATCAATAACTATCATCATTATTAATTTTATTAATTCAATATTCCTAATTCATTTCTGTTGAAGTTTATTAATTCTTTTCTTTCTATAGGAGGAAGAATTTATCTTCAATTGGACTCAGAAAGTGATATTCAACCATTAGGTAGGGATCAACTTCCTCTAAAAGAAGTCATTGCAGGCTATCGAGAACTTAAGAGAGTCAACGAAGGACAATTGCATAGAGAAGATATCGAAACTTAATTTTACACATTGATTACCATAAATTATTCAAATTTAAGTTCTTAATTCAGTTAATTAATTCAAGTTGTTAGAGTATTATTTCATTTTGTTATATTTTTGTTAATCATGATTAGAATTTAGTTTTGTTTAATCGTAGTACTCAAAATTGGTTAAATTTACGTACTAACGATATATTAATTTAGAATTTGTTTTCTACCACAAATAGCTATAGTATATATACTAACTTAATATTACACACAAATGTGATTACCATAAAGTGCTCAAATTTAAGTTTCTTAATGATCAGTATTATTTGATTTTGTCATATTTTTGTTAATCATGATTAGAATTTAATTTTGTTTAATCGTAGTTCACAAAATTAGTTATATTTTCGTAATAACGATATATTAATTTAGAATTTATTTTCTACCACAAATAGCTATAGTATATATACTAACTTAATTTTACACACAAATATGACTACCATAAAGTGCTGAAATTTATGTTTTTTAATGATCACTATCATTTGATTTTGTGATATTTTTTGCTAGTGACATTGATAATTTGGTTTTGTTTAATCGTAGTACTTAAAAATTGTTAAATCTTCGTACTGTTAATATATAAATTTGGAATTTGTTTACTACTCTAAATATCTATAATATATATATATATATATATATATATATATATATGTACAAAGCATGATTTGGGGACCCATGTTTTTTCGTGTATATATAGGTTCCTGATGCCCTAAATAGCAAAAGCATTAAAAAATTATTGATATACACTCAAAATTAATAAGTTTAAATCGACAATAAAGTATGCAAAGCATATTTTGAGGACACAAAAATTGTGTATATCGCAATGTTCTCAAATCATGCGTTGTACATGTACGTCTTTTATATGTACAATGCATGTTTTGAGAACCAAATTATATACGCAACGCATGATTTAAGTACCAAAATATATAACCACCGCATGATTTGAGTACAATTTTAAGAAACCATCTGTCCTCAAAGTATGCGTTACATTAAAAGACATAAATTTGTAAATAGATAATGTCCTCAAATCATGCGTTGCACTTAGACGTCTTTCATATGTACAACGCATGATTTAAGTACAATTTTAAGAATCAATATGTCCTTAAAGTATGCGTTGCACTTAGACGTCTTTCATATTTACAACGCATGATTTAAGTACAATTTTAAGAATCAATATGTCCTTAAAGTATGCGTTACATTTGCGAATATAAAAATTTGAGAATAGATAATGTCCTCAAATCAAACGTTGCACTTATACGTCTTTCATATATACAACGCATGTTTTGAGGAACAAGTTATATAAATACTGCATAGTTTGAGGTCGAATTTATACACAAACCACATCATTTAAGCACCATTTTATCAATCAATATGTCCTTAAAGTATGCGTTAGATTTAAGAACATAAAAATTTGTGAATCGATAATGTCCTCAAATCATACGTTTTATTTGTACATCTTTCATATATTCAACGTATGTTTTGAGTATAAGTTATATAAACATTTAACAAGTAAATTTTAATTTTATTTACCAACGCATATTTAGAGCACCATTTTATCAATCAATATGTCCATAAAGTATGTGTTACATTTGAGGACATAAAAATCTGTTAATCGATAATGTCCTCAAATCATACGTTCTATTTGTACATCTTTCATATGTATAACGTATGTTTTGATTATAAGTTATATAAACATTTCATAAGTAAATTTCAACTTTATATACCAAACGCATATTTTGAGTACCATTTTATCAATCAATATGTCCATAAAGTATGTTACACTTGCGGACATAAAAATCTGTTAATCGATAATGCCCTCAAAACATACGTTGCTTTGTACATCTTTCATATGTACAATGTATGTTTTGATTATAAGTTATAAACATTTTATAAGTAAATTTCAATTTTATATACCAAACTCATATTTTGAGCACAATTTTATCAAACAATATGTCCTTAAAACGTTTTTAGAACGAACATGGTTTTTTGCCAACTGGGTGCACAATTTTAAGAAAGTTGTTTTAACATAATTCCAAAATCGTTTGCTGAGATAGGTAGGCTCCAGATAGATGTAAACACTCCTTTTTTATTTTTAGCTATAACGTTTTAAGTATAAAACTTATACAGGTTTTTACTATTTTTAAAACTGTTTTTTGGGGAAAAACTAAAAAATAGGGGTCAATTTTTTTCGATGGATTACTTGTATGCACAGTTTTAGAGAAATTGACTTCTAACGCTTTTATAAAGTTAGTTGTAAATATCCATGACAGGAAAAAATAATTTGCCCGAAAATCGAAGAAATTCTAAACGAATTTCATGTTAATTTTACATGAGAAAGTGATAGTAAATCTTGGTTTTAGTGCAATAGATATTTTCCAATACATAACGTCTTCAAGGCAATAGTTAAAACACAACTAAAACGTGTTCGCGTGCCGTGCAATGCAGCTCAGAAAATATTTCACCTATTTTCATGAAACTAACAAGAAATCTTCTTTAACTTACTGGCTTTTACATGACGAGCTACTTTTTTAAAAAAAATTTTAACAATTTTTTTGGTAGATTGTTTAAAAGAAATGTTTTTTTTTTAAATGGACCCGAATTTAAAAAAAAATTAATTTTCTCTTCGTCATGCAAAGCGTATTTGTGTAGTTTAAAGGTAAAAATTTCATTTCTTAATTTTGGTGGAGATTTGAGACCTGCAGACTGCATGGCGAAAAAACCAAAGATCCAACTTTAAACGCCTGTAACGCCGCCATTTTTCACTATTTTTATTTAAAAAATTTTTTACATAGCTTATATTAAACACTTTAAAGTATGCTTTATTTCAATTCAATAAACTTTACTACTCTTTTGTAAAAAAGATCTTCAAAATGTGCATTTATAAGGGTTTCCCTCTCAAGGGTTAATAAAGTAAATAGGGAGAAAGAAGATTTTTCCTTGGAGATTGATCTTGGCTTTACTGCACTTGACCAGTGACAATTAGTCACATCTGTATTCTGATAAAATCAAAAAAAACATTGATGGTACTCAAAGTATGCACTTAATGGTTGACTTATATAAATTGTTTATCTTCGGCTACTACTTTTAGTAACAAAAATTATGATAATCTTCTGACCATATTCAATTTACCCTGTTTAATTCCCTAATCAATCGCTAGTTAGTAAAATTCTAAAAAAAGCAAAAGAAACATTAATGGTACCCAAAGTATGCATTTACTTGTTGAATAAGCAAATTGTTTATAGACTGCTGCAACTTCCAGTAACAAAAATTCTAATAATCTTCTGACCATATTTATTTCACCAGGTTTAATTCATTAATCATTAGACAGTTACTAAAATACTAAAAGAAGCAAAAGAAAAATTGATGGTACCAAAAGTATGCATTTACTTATTGAATAATGCAAATTGTTTGTAGACTGCTACCATTTTCCATAAAGCAAATTTTCTGAACAACTTATATTCTTACTCATTACATCCTGTTAATTACATTAACAACCGATGGTAACAAAAATTCTGATAGAATAAAAATAAAAATATATGGTACTTAAAGTATGCATTTAATGGTTGACTTATATAAATTGTTTATATTCGTCTACTACTTTCAGTTACAAAAATTCTAATAATCTTCTGACTATAATCATTTTACCCTGACTAATGCCCTAATCAATCAAACGTTACTAAAATTCAGTTAAAATCAAAAGAAACATTGATGGTACTTAAAGTATGCATTTAAGGGTTGGACTTATATAAATTGTTAGATTCGGCCACTACTTTTAGTAACAAAAGTTCTAATAATCATCTGACCATATTCATTTTACCTGTTAAGTTCCGTAATTAATAGTTGTTAATTACATTAACAATCGCTAGATACTAAAATTCAGATAAAAGCAACAGAAACATTGATGGTACTCAAAGTTTGCATTTCATGGTTGACTTATATGAATTGTTAGATTCGGCTACTACTTTCAGTAACAAAAGTTCTAATAATCTTCAGACCATATTCATTTTACTTTGTATATTTCATTAATCAATTGATAGTTCGTAAAACTCTGATAGAAGCAAATGAGACATTGGTGGTACCCAAAGTATGTATTTATTTGTTGAATAAGCAAATTGTTTATAGACTGATACTATTTTCCATAAACCAAATTTTCTGAATAACTTCTATTCTAACTCATTACATCGTGTTAATTACAGGAACAATCGCTAGATACTAAAATTCAGATAAAAGCAAAAGAAACATTAATGGTACTGAAAGTAATCATTTAATGGTTGACTTACGTAAATTGTTTATATTCGTCTACTACTTTTAGCTACAAAAATTCTAAGAATTTTCTGACTATAATCATTTTACCCTGTTTAATGCCCTAATCAATCGCAAGTTACTAAAATTCTTATAGAAGCAAAAGAAACACTGTTGGTACCCAAAGTTTGAATTTACTTGTTGAATAAGCAAATTGTTTATAGACTGCTACAATTTTGAGTAACAAAAATTCTAATAATCTTCTAACCACATTCATTTTACCCTGTATAATTCCCTAATCAATTGCTAGTTACTAAAATTCTGATAGAAGCAAAAGAAACATTGATGGTACTTAAAGTATGCATTTAATGGTTAACTTGTATAAATTGTTTATATTCGGCTACTACTTTCAGTAACAAAAGTTCTAATAATCTTCTGACCATATTCATTTTACCTGTTAAATTCCCTAATTAATCGCTAGTTACTGTAATTCTGATAGAAGCAAAAGAGACATTGATGGTACTTAAAGTATGCATATAATGGCTGACTTATATAAATTGTTTTATTCGGCTACTACTTTCAGTAACATAAATTCTAATAATCTTCTGACCATATTCATTTTACCTATTTAATTCCCTAATCAATCGAAGGTTACTAAAATTCTGATAGAAGAAAAAGAAACATTTATGGTACCCAAAGTATGTATTTATTTGTTGAATAAGCAAATTGTTTATAGACTGCTACCACTTTCCATGAAACAAATTTTCTTAATACGTTATATTCCTTTTCGTTTTTACATACTGTTAATTAATTTAATAATCGCCAGTTACTAAAATTCTGATAGAAGCAAAAGAAACTTTGATGGTTCTCAAAGTATGCATTTAATGGTTGACTTATATAAATTATTAGATTCGGATACTACTGTTAGAAAGTTATATAATTTAAAAATTTCAGGAAGTA